CTTCATTTGACTGGAGCTGAACGCTATGGGTGACGTCACACTCACGTAGGCACCTTCTTTCTACAGTCTGTTTCACGCCATAGTTTGAAACATTCCAGGCAAAGCTATAATATCTCTACGGAGACAAGTAGGTGACGCATTCTCCAAAAGCAAAGTTACAAAACGCGTCTTAAAGAGGTCGAGGATGAAATGCCAAGATTCCAGTGTCCAAAGCAGGCTCTTTAAAGTGAGTTTTGTGCGTAATCTGTGCGTGTTGGAGCAGGACTGGTGAGTACACGCACACTCCTCTGGGTTCATTGTACCTCTTGTTTATGACCTGTTTTGTAGCTGCTGCGTCTTTAAAAGGCCCTGCTCACGTCACATCCTCTCGCCTGCTTTTTTTCTCTTTTCTTCTCAATCAGCCCCATTCTTAAGTCAAATGACCCTCGTTTAACTTGTTCTCAGGAGAGTTAAAAGGCCTTCAGGTGTTAAAAGCGCTGTACCTGATTTTACAGTCTTAAAGTAATGTGAAAACCAGAAGTAGTTTTAAACAGGTTGTAATGGCCCAGAGTAGTTGCACACTTATCTTATGCATTTAAAGCATCCAAATTATCAGTGAGTTTATAAGGATTTAGCACAATTTCAGACTTGCCTGACCAGCTAGTTCCTTCTACATTCTGTTGAAATCTAGAAGGGTCTGGAATCGGACCATAGAGCGTGAAAAAAGCTGTTCCAACCTGAGAAGATCTGACCACAATGGCTAATTTGTATCACGTGTCTCTCTCGAATGTAAAAGACATCTCTTGAAAATTATTGTAACATTTAGAACAAAATGTATGACTTCTTTTACTTGAAATAAGTAATAGTTTGGTGCTTAGATTGTTGATTCTGAAAAAATCCGTGCTGTTTCTCAGTCCTTTATGATGTTTTTTTCTACTTTCATGTAAACAGCTGTGTTTGTTTTTGATGCAAACTGAGCATTCATCTCTCTGATTGGTTAATCTGCCTGTCAATCACCCCCTCTACAAAGACCTTGACTGGGTATCATTAAGAAGCTGCCGATACGATACATACCTCGATACATGGGCGACAATACGATACATGACAATACGATACATATCTTGATACAGTGCACTTTCTATTCAATACGATATATTTCGATACAAGTCGATACAGTTCAATAAAAAATAATGGGTAAGTCATGTCTTTGTGCAAAGTTAATATGAAAAACACCCATTTTAATCTTCAAAACGGTGAATATGTCAAATGTGTTGCATAAATATGTTTCCTTCCACTAAAGAAGCAACACAACTTTAGCAGAGAAACAAAATTATTTAGTAAAATATACCAAAAAATACTCTTAACGATATATCAATACAGCAGCCCATGTTATCGATATGTCATCACATTAAACGATTCAATATATCGATATTTTTGCACAACTCTAACAAAGACAGTGTATTATCTCCCTTTTTTGAAAGTTTTGTCAAAGCGTGCGGTTCCAGCTGGTCAGGTAAATCAAAGACCAGACCAGGGTTTTGCCATGATGGTAAAGCTAACAAGAACTAGCATGCTAACTGCACACTTCATGATTACCTGACAATAAACCGCTTTATAATTAGATGCAGATAATGCACAGGAGACATTTTTTTTATTATAAGAGCTGCTTAGACAATATATCTGTACTGGGGCAAGACAATTTTTCCTCTAATCATGTATAGACTGTAATTTGGAATTTATTTATGGACAAAATAGTGAAATAAAAACACCAGGATTATGTAGCATGGGTTAATACGAACTTTGAAAAACCAAAATGAGGCTCACTGCAGCAGTTACAGAGAGATGCGCGATATTTTTTCAATGCAAAGTCAAATGGAGCCAGAAGCACACCCATGTTCACTTCCTATGTGAAACGTGGCAGCTAGCAGTTTAGCTAGGCCCATTCATATATAGAGTCTATAAATCCATGGGAAAAAAAATGGGTTCAAGGCCTTTAAACTGTCATGTCAACACCTTCCTGATTTATTGCAAGAGACTGCATAAATGTGCCAAAATCTGTCATCGTGATTTTTGATGCGTGGCTCCAGGGCTGTGCAGTGCGTAGTTAATCACATGTATAATAGTCAGTGCAATTACCTCTCTATTCAATTATAAAAATGCGGTAATCCAAAATACTATTAATTAACCGTATATTCACACCGATAAGAACTGCCACACTCGAAACCTGGGACTAAGCCATTTTTATACAGTAGCTTTAAAAACAACTACCAGGTAATTAAGATTTATGATTTTCACCCACCTCGATACGACGCCACAGAGGAAAACAATTAACAACAAAGAGAAAAAATATAAACTGTAATGATAAATACTAAATAAGTAACAAAAAAGACGCCAAGATACTGGTGTCAAATAATTATGTCACATGGGGTGAGTTGTAGGAAGTATTATCTGTTCCGTAAGAGTGAGTTGTACTGTTGTAGGGAGTATTATCTGTTACATGAGGGTGAGTTGTTGTACACTTGTAGGGAGTATTATCTATTACATAAGCGTGAGTTGTACAGTTGTAGGGAGTATTATCTATTACATAAGCGTGAGTTGTACAGTTGTAGGGAGTATTATCTGTTAGATAAGGGTGAGTTCTTGTACAGTTATAGGGAGTATTATCTGTTCCATTAGAGTGAGTTGTTGTACACTTGTAGGGAATATTATCTGTTACATAAGATTGAGTTGTTGTACTCTTGTAGGGAGTATTATATGATATGATATATTTAGCTGTAAAATATTGAACTAATCACTTCTATGGAAACAAAAATACTTAAAGGTGCATTGTGTAACTTTTCTGGTGGAGAGTAGTGACCTGCTTGTTTCTATGGATACGTCATTGCTCTACCTGGAATATTCCACAGTATGACATTAAATAGCTCTATCTTACATTTATTCAATTACAGATGGTTTTATAGCTAAAAAAATATGTAGAAAAACAGTCGCCTCTCCACAGTTCAGGCCTGTAACTTGATCTAGTCTCGTCTCCATGAAGATAGAAAGGTTTTATACCATACCGTGAAACACTCCAGACAAAGCAATAACATTTATTCTCTGTTACAGCAAGGCAGGGCCCAAGCGAGTCTCTCTCAGCCCCTCCCCAGGACATCTGAACTCTTGAGTATTTACATCAGAAATACAAAGCTACATAGATATCAAAGCAGAGCAAGTTTTGTTTCACAGACTTGAGTTAATAAACTTTTACACTTGGAGACAGGTAAAACAACACAGAGTTTCCTGGAGGATGGAGACGGTGCCTGCTGAGTCTTTACATATTGTGATGTCTGGTCTGAGTCTCTGGCAGATGGGCCTGTCACGATCATTAATACATGAATCTCAATCTCAAATCAATATATGAAAGCTGGAACAATATTTTTGGGGGGTCAATACTTATCGTGTGTAGATTTTCTTTGCACGACTGGAAAATGGTTGGTTATTTTTTGGCTATATGTTCAGATTTAAGTTGTAAACCAAAGTGCAAACCAAGTCCTTTAGTGTGTTTGCACTGTTTATTTATTGCAGCTCATGTTTTTGCCATATTGTAGACTTAAAATAGTTTTTATGGTTTAAATCTTCTCTTGGATTTGTGTGTCAGTGATATAATTTTGTTTCAATAAGATCGTTTGTTGTCTAAATTTACAAACTTTTTGGTTGTGGGACCATCAACTGCTTGATTCTATGGAGATGTCATTGCTCTGCCTGGAATGTTCCACAGTATGACATTAAACACCTCTACCTTACATGTATTCAATTCAAGCTGGTTTTATTGCTCAAAAATACCTAATAAAGACATTCTGACAGTGAGCGGGGTCACCTCTCCACAGACCTGACCTGTAACTTGGTCCGGTTTTGTCTCCATGAAGACTGAAAGATTTAATGCCATATTGTGAAACATTCCAGACAAAGCAATAACGTCTCCATGGAGAAAACAGTTTGACGGACCCTTCTCCAGAAAAGTTACACATTGCACCTTTTATTTGTTATGGTGACAGGCCTTCTGACAGACTGACACAGATCAGATGCAATTACACAAGACATATGATGGTAATATTTTCTTCACAATATTAATACACATATGTTTCCATGACAGATTTATAATTTGATTGAAACAACAACACGTTTCAGTAACGGGTTTGGCTCAGTAAGTTGGAGTCTGTGAGGAATCACTGACACAGAAAGCTTTATCATGACTATAGATGATAAGATGCATATCATCATCTTCGCCTAATCTTGTCTATGGGTCAAATCTGATAAATCAGGTATATTCACTCTGTTTTTTTTAGTTCTCTGCAAATACTTTTTCTCTTTAATATTATGAAATATTTCTTTCAGTAATTATTTGAATTACATTAATTCATTGTTGCTTAATCATACAGTTCTTGTAACAGTTTTCTTATAATGTATGCATACTTCCACTGGACATTTGTCTTTGGTTTAATACCATTAACTCCTGTCACTGAGAACAAGTGTGACAGAAAAGACAGGCTAGTTCCTTGGTTTTCTGTCATCATCCAAAGATATATATTAAAGGTCCTATATTACCCAAAATTGACCTATGAACTTTAAGCCAAGGTATAATGAAATGACCTTATCTTTAGATCTACATCTCCAAAGCTCAAAATGTTCTATTCCACTTTGTGATGTAATATAGCGGTATTTTTCACGTTAACAGCTCATTTTACCCTTTGTTCAATAGAGCTTGGAAATTCCAGGACAGAAATCATCCAAATGATTCTAGTGAAAGCTTATGGAGTTTAAAAACACAGTGGAGCACTTCTTGTTTTACCACATGACACAAACACAGGTTTTCCGTTTGAGAGAAGAGCTCAGCCTAAATTTGCAGGGTTTGTGTGAATGAAACAAAGCACAACTTCAGGTCTGTTAAAACATACAAACTCTTTAAAATAAATAATCATCCAAAGTTTATTTTGTATGCAGCTGTATGTATGGTTTGTCTAAATCTTCCATGTTTTTCGCAGAGAGATCCAAGTTTCCGCTCCGGAGTTGCAGTGCGATTTGGCGGACATCTTCTCTGGACGCCATCACGGGGCCGTACCTCACCGGACAGTGGCCCCGGGACTCACACGGGCCCTACCCCTCCTGTATGAAAGACAAGGCCACACAGGTAACTCAGCACTTTTTATATCCTCAGGAAATTAAAGACATTTTTATTGAAAGGGAAGGGGTTTATAATTTGAAAGGCAAAACAAACTTAAAGGTCTCTATGTTTCTATGCCTGGATGACATTAAACAGCTCTACCTTACATTTGTTAAATTACAGGTTTTATAGATCAAAATATCTAGAAAAACAGGTATTCTGACTATTCTGTGAGCAGGGTTACCTCTCCACAGCTCTGACCTGTAACTTGAGCTGGTTTGGTAGGATAGAAAGGTTTAATGCCATACTGTGAAACATTCCAGACAAAGCAATAACATCTCCATGGAGAAAAGCAGACATCTAAAGTCCGCCACACACTACAGGAGAATTTGCCAGATTTTAGCTGCAATTTGCTTCTTTCCAAGGTCGAGGAGGCGTGACCTGGCTTTGTGTCTTTTGAAGCCACTGCACTCCTTGTGTGTGCAGTGTCAGTGTGACTCTGAGCTGCACAGATCATAACCAGCAAACATCAGCAACACTACGGTAACAGCGATAAAACAAAGATACAAACTCAGGAAATAGCGAAAATAGAGAAGACTTTATTACTCACCCCTCTTAAGTGCAGCAGCATCTCACCCTCATTATGCATAAAATTTGTCCTCTGCAAATAATGACATCCTGTCCACAAAACCTCACTATTAATCCAGTTTTAGGCTTTCTTTAAAATAAAAAATCAGAGTAGTTCCTCACCTGTGTCTGTTTACATCCACACAGCACACAGATGGAGGTGAAGCTGCAGATTACTTTATTTCCAATATTCTGTGCATTAAAATTTACATATCTGAAGTATTGCACCACATTTCATAGATAAAAATAACACAGTTTTGACTTGTATCTAAACTAGAAGTGCAGAGCTCTAATCTTTTGAACACTTAATAGTCTCAGAGTGAGTGGTTTTACTGTAGACAGGAAACAGCTGATGTGATTGCACTCACAACTTTAAACCCTGTGGTCTGCAGACATATCTATATGAGATTCTCCTCGTGTCTGTGGTATGTGCTTTTTGTCACACGTATAAAACTCGTTTAAGACAGAAAAATCCTGTAGTGTACAGCGGCCTTTAGAAAAGCCTTAGTGCTTTAGGATGAGGACTTACGAAACTGTGGAACAGTTTGCCAGTGGAATTAAAAGAAGATGTAAATAAAAAGTATTTCAAAAAGATTTTAGGTCTTTAGGAGATATGAACAAGATGGAGATACAAGTAGTAAAAAGGTAATAATTGTGTATGTATGTTTAATAGATGAATAATAAAAAAAAGAAGTGAATTGTACATATTTTGATCAAATGTTAAGGAAACAGAATGCATAAATGGAGTAACAATACAACCAGACAAGTCTTTTTAGCAATACAAATGTGACAGATGGGACAAGCAGAAGGCGGACATTCTACAGAGATCAATATGTAATACGATAATGTTGTTTTCGTCTACATTTGTTTTGATTCTTGGCTCGAGCCGACTATATTGTCAGACAACATAGAAACATGCTACTTAAACATCTTACGATCTTAAAGCCATTTTAGAACTTTTAAACCTCCTTAAAAACATACCTGGAGTTGTGTTTTGTTTCATTCATGTTTGAGTAACCCTTTAGTATTTGTCTGTCTACATCAGCAAAGCTCAACATGCTCTGTTTCCACCTTGTGATGTCATGACGTGGTAGCTTTCTGTGTTTTCTGTTTGAGAGAAGCACTCAGCATAAATCTTGAGGGGTTTTGCATTAAACGTGTGAATGAAACAAAACACAACGCCAGGTATGTTTGTGATGAGGAAACATTAGAACATAGATCAGAAAACAGTCTAATATAAGCCCTTTAAACATTTACTTTGAGCACAATCTATTATGAACTAGATTAAGGACAAATATGGTGTTTTAGAAGCCTGTTTTTACATCAACAAATGAAAGTTATCCGTATATGACAAGCAAAAAGTGTAGAACCTTTCCACTGGCTATTATCAAAATATATGACACTGTAGTTGATCGTACCACACTATTTAACTTGTAATGGCTTGCAACTGTTAGAGAAACTAGCCTCTGAGGCCAGTGAGCCAATAAAGTGAATGTCAGGACCTGATGGGAGACATATTTCAGAAGGCAAGCCTTACCTAAGCCGTGACCTTTCAGGGATGTGTTCAGACAGGATAGTTACCAGTATAAAGCACTTTTATTCTCTCAGTGTTTAAAGCTGCCTCTGCCTGAAGGCCTGTCCGTGGATCCTGCTCTAGGACCACAGCAAAGTTTATGCTGCGGTGCTAGATTCAAAAGAGTATTGAATATTCATGATCTTTTCAGTTTGACTCCGCCCTGTTAAATACACCTAATCATTGTATTCCATCTGTAGACAATACAGGAGCTTATAACATAATATAATGTGCTGGTGCTGTATTACCAATGCATTTCAAATTATATCTCTAATGACTTAGACTTAGACAAACTTTATTAATACACTTTATTGATATTGGACACTGTAGCTCACACATCAAAATATTATATAATAACAAAAAGGAAAAAATATAAATTGTAATAATAAATTCTAGCAAAAAAAGATGGCAAGAGGCAGGTGTCAAATAAGGCATAATTATATAAATGTAAAGTACAAGTCAAAATTAAATGGAAAAATAAGTACCGTATTTTTCGGACTATAAGACACACTTAAAATCCTTTTAATTTTCTCAAAAATCAACAGTGCGCCTTATAATCCGGTGTGTCTTATGTGTTAATTCTGGTTGTGCATACTGACCTTGAACTTGATTTTATGTGGTACACGGCGCTTAAAAATCTGTTAAAATGTGTTAGTACGAATTTACTAAGCTACGAAGCTGCACTGCTTGATGAATTGTCGGAGCATTACGACTACCGTAGTCAGGAGCCTCGTGGAGAAAGTCCGACAGAAGCTGAACGCATCAGTGCACAAGGAGCGAGCTATTTGTCAGCGCTTATAGTTTATGCAAATAGCCATGTTTTGTTTCTGTAAAACGTAAACAAATGTGCGCAAAGCTGCATTGAACACATTATTACTCAATGTATATTTAAGTCGTCCTTGTAGGAAATTAAAAAAAAAACTAAAACTTAAATTATCCACCCACATTCACATTCATGATACACATTCACCAAGACAGGGAGGCGATGCAGGGAGAATTACGCCACCATCTTTATTTAGCATATATTTAGCAAACACTGTCAAAAAAGTTAAAACATTTTCTGAAAACTCAAGAAAAATATTTTATATTAATCACATGACCATTAAAGGTCCTATATTATGCATTGCAAGATTTAAGCCATCTTAAAATGTTATTACCTCCTCAAAAACATACCTGGAGTTGTTTTGTTCCATTCATATATATTTGTGTAATGCTTTGTTATTAGTCTGTCTACATCTCCAAAGTTCAAAATGTTCTGTTCCACCATGAAGTGATAGTTTTTAAGTTAGCAGCTACTTTTTACCTTTGGTACACTAGAGATTGGCTTTTCCAGGGCTGAAAGTACCCAATTGATTATAATAAAGGCATATGGAGTTTAAAAAACACACTTTCCTTCCTGTATTGCTGCATTGCCCAAGGTGGAACAGTGTGTTTTCTGTTTGAGAGAAGAACACATGCAGGGTTTGTGTGTTAAAGGTGCATTGTGTAACTTCTCTGGTGGAGGGTTCGTCAAAAGCTTTTCTCTGTGGAGATGTTATTGCTTTGTCTGGAATGTTTCACAGGCTTTAAACCTTTTTATCATCAGAGAGTCCAAACCAGACTAGGTTACAGGTCAGATCTGTGGAGAGGCGACCCCGCTTACAGTCAGAATACTTGTTTTTTTAGTTATTTTTGTGCTATAAAACCATCTGTAATTGAAAAAATGTGAAGTAGAGCTGTTTAATGTTATACTGTGGAACATTCCAGGTAGAGAAATGACACATCCACAGAAACAATCAGGTGAGGGGTCCTCCACCAGAAAAGTTACACAATGCACCTTTAAGTACTTTTGTATATTATATCATGTAATACTCCCTACAAGTGTACAACAACCTACCCTTATATTATAGATAATGCTCCCTACAGCTGTAAAACAACCCACCGTTGTATAACAGATAATACTCCCTACAACTGTAAAACAACCCACCCTTGTATAACAGATAATACTCCCTACAACTGTAAAACAACCCACCCTTGTATAACAGATAATACTCCCTACAACTGTAAAACAACCCACCCTTGTATAACAGATAATACTTCCTACAACTGTACAACAACCCACCCTTGTATAACAGATAATACTCCCTACAACTGTAAAACAACCCACCCTTATAACAAATAATGCTTCCTGCAACTGTCACACAACACAGTAAAACAACACACCCTTATGTATTAGATACTCCCTACAACTGTACAACTAACCCTTGTGTAACAGATACTACTGCCTACAATTGTACAACTAACCCTTGTGTAGCAGATAATTCTCTAAAAAGTTAAACAAGTGCACCCTTACGCATGTGTGAATGTTTCTGATTCTGAATCAGTTAATAACATAACATGGGCCCTTGAACACCTTTTCAACACGTAATTATTTTAAATGAATCACATGGTATTAACTTTGGCAGCCCTAATAATACTGTAATGGATCATAAAGTCAACAGACTGTGTAAAACTATCACTATCAGCCAGATGCTCCTCTTTACTCAGTGAACAAATGACGCCTCAGTCTCCAGAAGCCCCAGTGGACGTGCGTGCGGGCCACTTCCCGACGCACACTCCGCCTAAACCGGAGCAGCTTTCACCGAACAAGAGGCCCCGGACAAAAGAAGGCCGGCCCTCCTTTTGTGCGCCCGCCGTAACGTGGCCCTGCGCGGAGGTGAAGCCGGCTGCACCTGTCCCTCCCGGTCCCCCTCCCCTCTGCGCCCCCTCTCTGCTCGCCACCTGGCCCCGCTCCTTTGTGTGCACAGCAGGCGGGAGCACGAGGGCCCCATACATATGCTAATGACGC